TCGTTAGATTTTTTTATTTTGTTCCTGGCATCTTGTGAAACATCCTGTTGAAGACTGCTGAGCATACGATCTTTGGTGAGGATTATACCACCTATACAAGAAAGTCTGAGCGATCTTACTGCTCTCTTAAATGTGAGTACAACTGTTATTTTATTTTATCCCATTCACTCACTGCATCAGATTTAGTTTTTTACACCCATGCCTATGTTGCTGAAGAGGTTGTAACATTCACACATCCATTAGTGGAGATTGTACAACTGTGCATTGTTAAAGCTAAAGCTGGTTGGAAGCTCCACCACACACATATGAGTGGAAATTCACACATTTCTGTTGTGTGTCCCTCATATACCATAATTATACTACACCACTGGTTCTCATGTTTTTGTCTTTTTCTGTGTGCTTATGAAATATCCAAGTATGAAGACCGTCTGGCGGACAGTGAAAATTCTTAATTTAAAATAATTTTCCTATTCTATATAACCCATAATAGGTGCAACCTGTATGTGTTACATTTGAGATCATTGACAACATTTGAAGAACACAATGATGAGTAGGAACCCCATCAAAATGTATTTCACTCCAATATAAACTGCTTTTTCAGGTCCATAATTTGTTACTTCCCCTTTTCACATCTAAAATAGGATGCTAGCCTGTAGCAAAAATTTACAGATTAAAAGCCTTGATTTAATATTTTTGCATAAGCTTTCCAAATGGTTTCACATTTTTGGATAAACCTCTAAAATGATTTAATATTTTGAAAAGTATTTTGGTAAATATTGATATGTTTTTTTGATATCTCAATATTTTTAACAAATCATTTTAAATGTTCCAAAAATATTAAGTCAAGACCAATACATAATATAAAATGATGGTGTTCAGGTATACATGGTCACCCACTGCTAGAACCCAGAAGATGACTTATCCACAATATTTGGATATTTCAGACAGCTGTTGGAAGTTGCTGTAGAGGATGTTAATCTATTATGGGGTACCCCAGGAAACAGCCTTTCTGGTAAAAGGTTACTCAAAACTCTTGGATGACCCTAAAGCATTTGAACCATCTGGCCTACTGAGGTGCTTTTAGACTACACAAAAGTGCACCTCCATGTCTACAAAAAGTTAGTTAGTCCCATCGTAGACCCAATGAGTTAAGGTTCTTGAAGATATACAGGTGAAAGAAAGCCTGATGTCAACACTCTCACAAGACCCAAGAATCCTACAGGAACAGATTGTTCTATTGACTAGAGTACCTTTCCTTGCCGGAAATACCCAATTATTCATCCTGGCATAAGCAGCAAATTTAAAAACAGGAGTAATATAAAGGGAACACAGATTGGAAATGGATATGTCTCCTGGGGGAAAGTTCATTTTAGCAAGAAAAATAGTTGTACACATTTTTTGTCTTGGCAAACTTTTTGTGAGGGGGCAGGATAGGGCCACGCACACTTACACTTTATTTTGTGTTCCTTTTTTCCCCTTTTCATTCTTTTATTTTTTTCTCTGGTTTACCTTAATTTCTTTTTTGAATAGATTTCTGTTCAATATATTGGGCCCATGGCTGGCACTGCTGATTTAGTGGATTGCAACATTATTCCTCTTAACCTTTTTAACACACTCCATTGCCTGCACCACACCTAAATATACATAATTAAGTAAATTGGAATATTTGGCTTGTAGAAATTTCTTCCTTCTGTAATATTCTGCAGTATACACCCTTTAGGAATGCTGGGCCATATAGGACACCTTCCCGGGTTGGAACTGAGTTGCCTTAGCACACATATAGCAATCTTCTTAATGACTATAGTTACCCAACACCTGGGAGGATAAACCGGAAAAGACAGTCCTTGCACCTCAATATCAATATGCACATGTGCTATAGGCATTTGATTTACCTTCTAGGTTAGGGGTACCAAAAAGGTAGATCCCTGGATGTTTTAAAACTACAGCTTTCACAATGCTTTGTCATTCTAAAGCATTCTAAAGGCATGCAAAGCATCATAGGAGTTGTAGTTCTACATCATCTGGGGATCTACCTTTTGGGCACCCCTGTTCTAGGGAATCAAATTGTGCTCTTACCGCATGAAAAGTCATTGTAACACAGCTATTGAAGTTTATTTTTCGCAGTTCTAATGTAATGTGATAGAATTACATGGAAGTGTTATTTTGAGACATTTGATGTGTCTTTTGAATTGCCCTGTCTTTATTTCCACACAATATGCATAACATTTATTGCTAAACACTACAAACCAAATCAATGAAATACACAGGAAATAAGCATTTTATTGTATTTTAGTTTTCATAAGAATGGAAAAATTCATCTCTACTCCAGTTTTATTATTTATTTTTTTACTAATTTTATTGTCACCAAAGCAGTCTGCTGCATTTTTTTTAACATTATTTGTATTTTTTCAGGTTTTATTACAGTTAGAATAGATGAAGAAAAAGGCAATTGTTACAGAACTGAAGTTGGCATACAGTATGTGGCTTATACATAGCGATCATAAATGAACAAGAACAGGAAGAGTAAAAGGACATGATGCCAATATGGAGCTGTAGGGATCAGACCTTTGTCATGTGGATCTGTATAGACCTTGGTTGCAAGCCTAATGACCTTTACTTGCGGCTGGTCGTGGGGGTGACATTATACTAGCATTCCGTGGCACTGAGGTGGCATCTATATCATCTTGGGTGTTAGTTGTCCCAAGTCATCTCCCTTGTTTTTCTTTTTAAATATAATCCATAGATTTTTTTTAGAAATATAAGAATGTTTCCTAATGTAATCTAATTTTCCAGGGCACTGTAGTCACCAAAACTGTTAATGAGGCAGTTTTTGTGCATAGATTACTGGTTTCCAAACCAGTCCTCAAGGCACCCCTACCAATCCAGGATTTAGGGATTACATGGTTGTAGCTAAGGTATTTTTTTAAAAACAGAGAAAAAAACACCTTAGACACAACTGTGTAATCCCTAAATCCTAGACTGGTAGGTGTGCCTTGAGGACTGGTTTCCCACAGAAGAAGATGACAGCCCACGGCCACTTGACCCTGGACAGAATATGCAAAGGCCCCCAAAAATGATCAGCTTTAAAGTATGTTTTTTTTGTGCTTTTGAATTACACAGCCATGTTACAGTGCTGCTTCCCCACCCCCTATGTATCCTATTAAGAAATAATAAGTGTGTAAATCTATATCTCCCATAATTCTCTTACAGATATGAAAGCATCAGGGGATATATAGAACATCTAGAGTGCCTAAGGCTACCTAGGTGTAAATTTCTGTCTCATTGTTGCCTTTTGGCTGAAATTAGCAAGATGAATTATTAGTGTAGAACCAACCTCCGAGGTTTGCCTTGACGTAGCAGTGGAGATTATTGTTTAATACACAGTGCAGTGGTTATAAAAACATATGTTATTTAAATGTGCAAAGCAATTTGCGATAGTGCACAAGTATCTTTTTGATTTACTTTTTTTATTTTTTATTATTGTAGCATATAAGTAAGCGTACAGATTGTTAAAGACCAGGGCCGGCGCGTCCATAAGGCGGCACAGGCGGCCGCCTTAGGGCGCACCGGCTCTGGGGGCGCAAAATTCCAGTGACCGGCAGGAGGGAAGTGCTCCCTCCTACCAGGCCACCTTCTGGATCCCCGGCGCGGCGTGTAACTGAATTGGATTCCGAGGTGGCGAGGGAGCTCTGATCTCTCTGATCTCTCTGATCTGCTCCCTCGCAGGCTGTTTACTGATGCCGCGGGAGCTGGAATATGACGTCATATTCCGGCTCCTGCGGCATCAGTAAACAGCCTGCGAGGGAGCAGATCAGAATAGATCAGAGCTCCCTCGCCACCTCGGAATCCAATTCAGCCGCACGCCTCCCAGCAGCAATACTGGACCACCAATGAGAGACCCACGCCAGCTCTCCAGGTAGGGAGGCTGGGTGGTAAATTTTTATTTAATTTAGATTATTAATTACTGTGAGCAGGGCCGGTGCATTACTGTGAGTGTGTGTGTGTGTGTGTGCGCATGTGAGTGTGTGTGTGCGCATGTGAGAGTGTGTGAGTATGTGTGTCTGTCAGTGTGTGTGTGGTTCTGTCAGTGTGTGTGAGTGAGTGTGTCTGTCTGTGTGTTTGTGAGTATGTGTGTCTGTCAGTGTGTGTGTGTGTGTGTGAGTGAGTGTGTCTGTCAGTATGTGCGTGTGTGCATGTGAGTACATGTGTCTGTCAGTGTCTGTGAGTTTGTGTGTGTGTGTGTGTGTGTCAGTGTGCGTTTGTCAATGAGTCTGTCAGTGTTTGTGTGTCTGTCAGTGTGCGTGTGAGTGTCTGTCAATGAATGAGTGTGTCAGATAAGTGAGTCTGGCTGTCAGAGATGTCTGTGTGTTTGTCATTGAGTGTGTGTGACTGTCAGTGTTTATACACCCCTGACTGTAGCGTGGCCAAGCGGAGTGTTTCCTGTACCTGGCAGGACTGACAGGAAAAGCTCACTGTACCAGGATTCGCTCCACTCAGCCACGCTACAAGAAAGGTAGGAAGCACAAAAGGGAGGTTAAGAGGCACATGGGTGAAGATGTTTTGGGGGGGGAGGAAAAATGCATCTTCGCCTATGTACCCAAAATTCTTTGCACCGGCCCTGGTAAAGGCATAGCATGTTACTTTTTGAGTGCATTCAACAACATGTTATAGACAGCGACAATAGGCAACAGATAATACTGAATACATCAGTTAAGCTGTGAAACTATTGAACAATAGCAGATGGGCAATGCACATTTTATGATGAGTAGTGTCAAAGCTTGAACACTCTGCATCTATTGGGGGCGGGGGGTTAGAGTCTCGAGAGAGAGCATATACATAAGGACATTTGTGAAAACGCATATAACAAAAGATTAACGTATACAAAGCAACAAACACAATATCATGAGATAAGGGTTATGGAAGACCAGAATAGGTAATCTCCAGTGTGGTAATAGGTAAAACAATGGCAACTGTCCTTGTGCCATCTTTACAGATGTTTCTCAGGTGCCAGCTGGGTTTGTTTCGACTGCTGCTGGTCTGGGTTTCGGGTGAAAGGTTCTTATATTGCTCACATCCCACACCTGGGCTTGGGGACTTGTGCCCAGAGTAGTGTTCAGAACAGTCTCTGGCAAAGGCAGTCCCAGTGTTTTGAAGAACATCCCTGTGTCTAACTGATGCAGTAGATGGATTCTCTTCCCGGCGTGGAGCACTGACAGTTTGCGGCCGGGGCCCCAACGGTACTCCGCTCCACGCTCCAAGCGCTGCATGACAGGGCAGAGAAATTGTCGCCAGACCATGGTGGACCTAGTCAGGTCGTTATAGAGGTCAGCACCTTCAAAGTGGCTAATTTGGTGATTCGCGGACAGCTGCCTGTACAAGCTGCTTACTCTGTAGTAATTGCACAGCAGCAAGTCCCTTGGGACCCCGTTCAGGGCTCTAGCTGATTTGGGAATCCAAAAGTAGTTCTCCAGCATGACTGATTTGGCCTTAGATGGCGAGAGAATCCTGAGGTTGCGCTGTCGCTTGGAGTCTTCAAGTGGTGCAATTCTACTTTCCATGAGGATGTTTGCTTGCTTGAGCCTGTCCATCTCTGACTGTTTTTTTTTTTTTTTTTTTATTAAGCAATTTTCAAGTTCACAGTGGTCATCAGTGTTACAAAGTTCGCATGTTATGCAGTTTTATATGATCACAGAAAGGAAATGCATCAGTTATGCGATTTTATACATACTCAACACATTTGTCCACTCGAACAGATTTTTTGTGTATTTCTAACTTTGGTTAGGGGGGAGGAGGCCCGCTGACCCACAGGTAAGTTCTGAGGTTTAGGGTTTGCCTTTATTGCACTTTGTGTGCTGGGAAAAGAGAGGTCTTTCGTTTTGCTCTCCTGCAATGTAAAGTCGGAGTCCTCCCTCACCAGCGCCATTTTAGTACGCCGCGGTTGCGCAGTCCCCCTCAGCAAAGTGCCGATATCTTGTGATTATGAGGCAATTTCATTTCTCCTGAGCTTAGCTTTTTTCCACATAGTGCTTGGGCATCTTTTGGGTGAATGTCTGAAGGTTTTACCAGGTTTATGTCTTAGTTAAGCGATGCTCTCGCAGGAGTTCTTTGCACGTGCTTCTGCTTTGATTGGCAGCTAGCTCTGCCACCCTTTTTTTATGTACTTTAGCTAGTTTAGAGTCACAGTTGTGCTATTTTCAGAAAGCAATTGCAATTTGGCTGTCATTTCACTACAATTCACTGTTACCAAATACCTGTAAGTGCCACTATAGGGAAAAGTCAGTGTAATGCTTCTGCCACTGATCTGATGAAGAAACTCTAATCTTTTTTTTTTTTTTTTCATTTATGGTGTTTATTCATATCAGAGATATTCAATTGTTTTTGGTTTTTAATTCTTTATTTAGTCATGTTTTTTTATGGTAAGGTACAGGATAACTTGACAAAGTAAAACAACATTGTTACAAAATATTAACAATACATTGCGAAGCTGAGTGCAGCAAAGAAATAGTTACAGATAATCAATTGTTTTGCTCTTAATATTTTATATTACTTCCATTTTTTCATATATCTCTAATTGAAATGGAAATGCATTGTCTCTGTTGCTGAATTATAATTGCTGTTGTTGTATGCTGGTAGCGCAATATTTTATTGAATATGACTTTTGTGACTGCTAACAATGTGAGACAAAGGTATTGGCTTAATCCGCTCAAACAAGACATCCTGATGAGATGAATCTTTTCTGTTACATGTGTGATATCATTTTAAACACTGCAAGACACAGCATGTCTGTGATTTTTGCAAAGCCTATTTAGATCGTTTGATAATTTACATAGAGGTGACGGTGATGAACATTCATAAGAAAACATTCTCTGTTTTCTGTACATGGACAGTTCTACACAGGTGTAATACTTTGGGGAAAACCAAAATGTGGTAACATCTCATAGAATTTGATATATACTGTACATGCAATTTCTCTCTCTCTATATATATATGTCATTGTGTGCATCATAAGAACACCCACTCTTGCTTTTCAGCTTATCATCTTTAGTGTTTCATACTCGTGAGTTTCCCTGGGAAAACAAATGGCATTTTGTGCTATATAATCGATGCAGTAAGATAGCCAAGCATTTAAAGGGACAGTCTTCTCCTTGATCTTTCTGCTGCCTTTGACACTGTTAATCATCAACAGCTTCTTTGCATTCTCTGTAATTTTTGTCTACGGGATACTGCTCTCTCCTGGTGCTCCTCCTACCTCTCCCAGCGCTCTTTCAGTGTTTCTTTTTCTGACTCTGCCTCTTCCCCCCAACCACTCTCTGTCGGTGTCCCCCAGGGTTCTGTCCTTGGCCCCCTACTGTTCTCTATCTACACTGCCTCCCTTGGAAAACCATCAGCTCCTTTGGCTTCCGTTATCATTTCTATGTGGATGACACGCAAATCTACCTGTCCTCCCCTGATCTCTCTCTGCCCATCTTGACTCATGTCTCTGACTGCCTCTCTTTGATTTCAAAAAGGATGGCTGCTCACTTCCTTAAACTCAACCTGTCCAAAACAGAACTTCTGGTCTTTCCTCCTTCAAGTGTTACTACTCCCGTGTCTGTCTCCCTCCAAGACAACGGCGCTACCATCACCTCTACCTCGCAGGCTTGCTGCCTGGGTGTTCTTTTTGACTCCAACCTCTCCTTCACCCCTCATGTCCAAGCAATCGCCAAATCCTGTCGCTTCCATCTCAAAAACATAGCGCGCATCCGCCCCTATTTAACCCCGGATGTGGCTAAGGATCTGGTCCATGCTTTTGTTCTCTCTCGCCTGGACTATTGCAATACTCTTCTCAGTGGTCGTACGTATTTCCAGATTGTACCGTTGCAATCTATTATGAATGCAGTGGCAAGGCTAATTTTCCTGTCCGCTCGCACTTCCCACGCCTCCCTGCTCTGTCAGTCCTTGCATTGGCTTCCTGTTAGATATAGGTCTCAATTTAAAATTCTGGTGCTTGCTTACAAGTCCCTACATAATGCTGCTCCAACCTACCTGTCCTCTCTAATACACAAGTATGTCCCGTCAAGGCCCCTACGCTCTGCCAAAGACCTACGGATATCCTCTGTCCGTACTCCCACCTCTAACGCTCGCCTCCAAGACTTTTCCAGGGCTGCAACTCTTCTGTGGAACTCCCTTCCCTTCTCCGTAAGAATTTCACCCAGTCTCCACTCATTCAAAAAATCATTGAAAACTCTCTTCTTTTAGAAAGCATATCAACTAAACTGTTAGCAGGTTTTTATCCCCCACCCCTCATTACGCCTCTCCTGCAACTGTCAAAAATTACCTACTAAGCTCTCAGTGAATACTCTTCTAACAACCTACTTCGTACCACCACTTTTACCCTTTGTGTCACTATACCCCACTTCCTCTAGAATGTAAGCTCATTGAGCAGGGCTCTTCACCTCTCTGTTCCTGTACGTCCAGTTGTCAGGTTACAATTACATGTCTGTTACTCCATCCATTGTACAGTGCTATGGAATCTGATGACGCTATATAAATAATAAAATAATAATAAAGACTAAGGACAAGTGAACCCTTCAAAATACATTAATATTTAAAGGGGCACTATTGTCACCAGAACAACTACAGTTTAATGAGGTTGTTCTGGTTAGTAAAGTCAGTCTCTGCAGGCTTTTTGCTGTAAGCACTGCCTTTTCAGAGAAAAGGCAGTGTTTACATTACAATAAAAGTTCCACAAATGCGTATTTGTGCAACAGGTGCTTAAAAGTGCAGAATAAAACTATTAAATCAAAACAACTGCTCTCACCAATGTGTGAATTACTCCCACGTTTACACAATGTTACTGTGTGGTATATATACCCATCCCTGTTAACAGTGGAGCGCTACAGGCTAAAAACACTTACCCTAAATTTACAAGGTTGTCTAGCCAACAAAATATAAACACACATATAGTGTGTTGATCCCCTGTAAGGATTTAAATATGAAACTGGACATATGGAATGTTATACCGATTGATAAAGCTGACCTCTGGCAAAACCTGTCTCTGAAGGACTGTTGGAGGATTTGTTTACTTTATTTTATATATGTTATATTGATTTTTATATGATTAATAAATAGTAGTTTTCAGAACCTTCATGTGAAGTCCATCTAACCTTCTGGTCCAGTTTTTAAAGACGTGTTTGTGTCCCCTAATCGATACAAGGGTCTTTGAACTTAGACCCACATATTACAAGCTCTAACAAAGGTGAGTAGTTTGCAATATTTTACATTGTGCACTATACCATTGTTTGTCTTCATAAGTTTGACAAGATACAGAGGAAGAGGGACAGTGTCACTAAAGAACACACCAGCTCATGTGATTAGAACCTGTCCTCATTAGGTTCTATCTAATGTGAGTATGTCCAATAAAAATTACTATCTTTCAATTTAATACTGCCAATATTGCACTATATGTGTGTTATTATTTTTTAGGCTACACAACCTTTTAAATTTAGGGTAAGTGTTGTTAGCCTATAGCTCTCCACTGTGGTTGGTGTATGTACCACATAGCCTAGCTTCATAAATGTTTACATTACAGCCTAGGAACACCTCTTGTGACCACTTCTCAAATAGCTACTAGAAGTGCTTCCTGGGTCAGTGCTGCACAGAGCATGCTCTGTGTGGAGACACTGACCTTTCCCCATAGAGATGCATTGATTCTATAAGGAGATGCTAATTGACCAGACCGGTGTTTGGTGCCGCACCACCGCCCCGCCTCCTTTCCAATCTCAGCCAATCCAATGCTTTTCCTATTGGAATTCTGAGGCAGATCGGGGTGGGGCCACCTACCTTGAAATAAGGTACAGTTTCTTACATTTTAAGGGAGGGTAAGCCACCTAAATGATGGTTTTAACACTAGGGTCAGGAATACATGTTTGTGTTAGTGACTCTATAGTGTTTCTTTAAAGTAACACTCCAAGTACTATAACTAATACAGTGTGCTGTAGTAGTTATGGTGCCAGCTTAAAACTCTATATTTATCATATAAAATGTATCTCTAACCTATCTGATGTACAGAGATCCAAGAAAGTTCTGTTTAGGAGAGCAGGTTGGAGACATAAAGACAGCTTGTAAAGGCAACTCAAGAGTTACATTTCAGACAGCAGTTGGCCTGTTCACCTCTTTGGCACACTAGTTGCCTTAAAGATTAGCAGTTTTTAGAGACTTGACCAAAGTTTCTAGGAAAGAACACAGATTTTAAAAGTCCTTTAACAATTTTCATGGTTGTCATCAGCTAATATAGAATGTTCTCAAATATTTGGGTTTCATTCCAAGGGAGTGTGGGTTATTTAGCAGTTAGTGATATATTAGTAATTTAGCCCTGTTTACCTTAATTTTGCGCTCCAGTTCTTCTGATTTGAACAAAGATATCTAAGTTGGAAAGACAGATAACTTTTATATGCCTTTGTGTTAATGCGTTTGTATGCCCCAGCATTTCTAAAATATGTTTCAGATTGAGCTCCTGGGACAGTGTTTGCGAATGCCAGGTATGCATGCCTACCCACCAGTTCTTTTTTCCAGAAACATTTTAGAATGAAGCAGATCATCTTTATTA